CTGTTAAAAAATATAAGAATACACGACTACAATTCGACTAATATTATTACTTATAATGAAGTTACTAATCAGTAAGCAACAACAGGTTTGTGTAATTATCTATCAATAAACATAAGTACATAACAATATCATAAAAATATTATAAATATATTAGTTATGATAATTAAACATTAAAGCTGAATCGTAGAAAAATATGGCAACCGAAACGTTCGAAACTGCAATTCTATAGGTTCTATAGGAAGATACGAAACAAGTTAAAGAAGTCAAATGGTATGACCTTCTCAACTCCATTCCCCCAGTCTTATAATATTAATATGTATGGTTTCTTTTTATATTATATTTCAATCGCTAGTTTTGAAAGTATAGATAGGTACTTCATATACATAATAAATACACATGACATGAATTCACGAAAATATGGTGGACACTGAACAGGTTGATTATTAATACAACGAAAACTAATATAATATATTTAACTATTTTATAGAAAAAGCCGTAATAACAAAACTTTGAATAATTATCATGCCTGAGAAATATTAATTTTCAAATAAACGCTTTCTAATTACTTATTTATGTAAGCAAATAAATGACTTAAATAAAACTACATTTTACATATACGTAAAAATTAATTACAATTTAGTAGGTACAGAGTAAATTATTATCGGTTGTTCAAATTTACCGCATAACAGAATGATATACAACTTAACAGTTTGTATAGATACTATACATTTGGGCTGAACCCAAATCCGAAATGGGTCTAGAAATTTAAATTTATTTCTGTGGTTTGAATTCAGATTATAATAGGTATAATAACAAATAAATGAGTTAGTAAAAACAAGTAAATAACACTATATATTATATAGCTAGGTCCCGGATTTATTTTAGTAATATAATACTATAGCCTAGTTGAGTTCCGAAGTTTTAGATTCAGAGCACTGCAACAAAATGTATTGATGTGTGTTCTGATAGATATAACCTTTTTTCTGACCAACTTCATGTTAAAGTAGATACTGAAGTAACGGATGCATAATACAATAATCAACGACTCCTTTATATTCTTGACGTAACACTAACAGTGATTTTCACCTAAATTTATACAAATTTAAAAATGCTTTAGCCGGACAATGTTCTCACTGGAAATAAAGTCTAAATTTATGAAGACGTTTAAAGTTGTTTGTAATTGAACTAGAAAAGTTGGTAGAAAAGACCTCCAAAGAGGGAATTCAAAAGCTGATCTGTAAATATAAAAGAGGTATCAAACGATCTGGTGACTACGTCGATAAAATAGAAATAGCTTTGCAATGTATATATAAATATATATATTCTTGCATATCTATATACATTTTGTAGAAATAAATCCACGTAATTATATGTCCAAATTGTCTGGCACTCTAACTATCTATAATTATTCCTATATAGTGACCACTAAGGAATACTAGAGACTAGATCTCCACTAAGATGTTCCAAAAGTATGTAGGTACAAGTGATACAAAGTAAAAAGTTATGCTAACTATATAATAGTATACTTAACTTTACATAAGTAATATACTATATACAAATTCCCTTACTTCAGGATAATATAGCTATAGTATTATATTTTATTTATTTTTAAAAACAATTTTTCAGTTGTAAATATAACGAATTCATTAATAACGGGTAATTCGTAAATTAATTATGGTTTTTACTTTTTTAGAATGAGTTCTTACTTTGTCAGTGTGATATCGGAAATCGAAAAATTGTATAAATAAAATCATCTGAAATACATAGGTGGGTAGCTATATTTTTGAAATCAAAAAATTCTTGGCATAGTTTCTAATTGATTAATAAATAGGTACCATAATTTTAGATTCTGAACGGAGTGATGAATGTATTGATTTTACAATGATGTATTTGTTTTTTTTTTTGTGTGTCTGTACTCTGTGTACAGCATAACTAGTCGAAATAATGCTTCAATTTCAAACTTTGGGGGTGGTTTCTGATGAGAAATTGAATATCCTTGGTGCATTATAAAGGTCAAAAGTAAACATTTTCCAACAGTTTTCAAAAAAATCGATTTATTTATATGGTTGTAATTCAAAAACTTATCACTGTAAATACTTGAAATTTTCACCAAATATTTATGTTATAGTATACATATACAGTTTAATTTTCAAAATTTTTGCCTTTTTTTTGAGTTATTTATATAGACAACTGAAATTTTCGATTTTTATGAGAATTTTTTTTTTGAAGTGTCGATAAAAATGTTTTGGCCCTATCAAAATACTTGAAAATTTAATACAGAGTTTGTCATAAGTTAGTATTGTAGTGATTAAAAAAATTATAAGAATACATAGGCACAATTTTTTTTATAAGCGTTTATTGTTCAAATTTTTACGAAATCTGTCGAAAACGCGAAAATTTGCAAGTAATTTTGAAGTTGAAAAATCACAAAATTTTTTGTGTTTATRACTAAGGATTAAAAATACAACACTAAGTTTTCCTTCAAGTAGCTATAGAGAAAATTCGAAGCATCATTTTAGAAAAAATTTTAAGTGCGTTTGAATTTTAAATTTTTACGAAATAGCGTAACGATAACGATTCATCCTCAAACCAGGTATATATATTGTACATCTATGATAATATAAAGTATTATGAATTATAATAACTACATGCAAAATTTTTGGAAAAATTGATTACCCATGCAAAATGCGTCCTAATTGAAAAATAAAATATTTGTTTCAAAATAGAATATATGACAATATTTAAATATAATATATCCTAGACTAACAAGTCATCTCCTTTCATCTCCGTTTTTCGTATACAATGATACCTATCATTGCATTCAAATCTAACCTACCCTAGTCAGAGGTCCACCCCACCACCTAATGTACAGCAGAGCGACATCCACTTACCCGCTTTTTTATTATTTGACAAATTTTATTGCAATAAAAATTTAACCAGATTAAGTACCTTAAGCTTGCTATTTTATTTGTAAGACATTGCGTTTACAATATTTTGTTAAAGGAAGATTTTTTTTACGTACGTGTATGTGTTATCAATTATTAAGGTATGTGAAATCTTGCAGGCGTGTATATGTATTTGATTACAAATTTACAAACTTGTAGATGGTAAAACAACGCGTATGTTTATGATATAAAATGTGTTCTATACATTTATTGCGATTGAAAATATGTGCTAAATATTTACATAACATAATTTTGGAAATTTCAATGTGTGGCGTGGGAACACGTACGTTGGTATAATCACTGACGTAAGAAAACGCAGGTATTATCTACTTACATATTCAGTGTAAAATACAATACATCATCAAATCGTGTTTTGGTATTTCAAAAAAATACTTACCTATGATAATAATTGATGATATAATAATGTCCCTAATAAATAAATCTATATTATTGAATATAAGTAATACGTATCAATTTATAATATTTAGGTAGGTATACCTATTACTAAGGTATAGTAAAGTACTAATACACGAAATTCCTTATTCATGAATAGAGTTAGAACGTTGATGACTTTTGAATTTTTGTTCCTTGAATTTTTCCAAAAAAATTTGTTTCATGCTTCCTTGATGCAGAATATTCTAATTTTATATTGCATTTTTTTGCATTCGTAACTATAAATGCATTTTTTCATCTTTTAGGTCATTTTTGTAGTTTTTATACAAGGTGGGACATTTTTCTCAAATTTTAAATTGGAGCAAGTGTTAAACCCAAGTTGGGAAACAAATTTAATTTATTTAAAAATTTAAAATCTAACTTYGGACCTGTTTGAGACTTAGAGTGTTATGTTATATATTACACCCATTATCACACCCATATCTCTAGTAAAAATTATTATTTATAAATACATTTTTTTCACTTTTTTAATTAGTTTTTAAATCATTTTTAAGGTAATTTTTTGAAGTTTTTAGGGCATTTTTGCATTTTTTTTAGGGTATTTTTGTGTGAAAATCTATAAGATAACAAAAAAAAAAGTTAGGATACCTACCTATTTACGAATAATAAAAAATATTATCTAATTGCATGAGTATCAATGTACAATTTTAGTAACAGATATATGAAATTATGGTATAATAAATACTCGTATTATATCCACACGGTAAATTATTATAATTATAGTTACACAATGTGATATAATTATACAACGTTAATAAGAATTAACTATAACACAGATTTTTTATCACGCTTTTAACATGTCAATAAATAAAGCAAATGACCTTTATTTACATACAGTACATTATTCTAACAAAATAATAGAATAATAACCACTACCTAAGAAAATTATGTTGTTTGATATGAAAAAAAAAACAGAGAAGTTGCTGTATAGTAGATCGCGAAAACAGCTTCATTGATCAGGTTTAGGTAGTGTAATTTATGCTCTAAGAGACGATTTGTGCTTAGTGTATATTTTTGATATTTTTAAACTGCTTTAAAAAAATTCAAAATTTTAAATAACTTGAAATTAATCTAAATATTAAATATTTTTAATATTGCATTGTGAAGATAGTGAATATAATAATAATTTAAGTAATAGTGATATGTTTTAGCTTTAATCTTTCAAAAACTAGATTTGTGTAGAAATTACTATTTGATTTGTTTTTGTTCGTTATTTTTGAAAAAATAATGTTATTTTGAAAAGTCCTTGGAAATGTATACTTTTGAGTTTTGACCCACAAAAGTATCGACTAGATCTGATTTTCAACAAAAACCATAAATTTCATTCCATTATCAATTTTGAAGATTGAAGCACTTTTTCTTGTTATACGATTTTTATATCATACATTTTAACGTTATTAATTATTTTCAGATTAAAATATGTCGTGCTTATTAAATTTTATCGGTAAAAATTCTAGGGTCCAGTTTAAATTTGCTCCTTGTTTTATATAGATTAGGTTGTCAACGACTTAAGTATTTTTTACCTGTTATATGTATAGATACTTTTCTTATTATAGTTTATATCATATTTTATTCTTCATTAAATCAATAAATTAAACTTACTTTAATTAATGATTCCACAGTAGGATTATCCATCAAAGTTTTCAAAAATATGATATCTGTTTCTTTGGCCTTTACATGATAATTTATTTCGTCCATATTATCACGTATATGTTGAAATGCAGCTGTAAGAATCAAAATACAGATTTTAAAATGAATCATTAAATAGTTAAATATATATAAATAATTGCATATATATGACAGTCTACAGATAGTAGGTATCTGTTATGTAATATTGTGGTGTATTCCTAAAAATATCATGTGTATTATACAACATTTTCATATAAAAATTTGATTTGACTTTCCGGTAGACATTTTTTATTTGATAATAGTAGACACTAGACAAATTTATGAAGAATCTTGTATTGAATTTTCAAATCTTTGATTTGAAAAGATAATTTTTTATAAATTCCAAATTCAAATTAATTTTCGTGATTTTTACATTTATTTTGTGAGAATTTAAACTTAAAATACTTTATAAAAAAAATTGTGACTGTATCTTTAATATTTTAAACTACCATTGTAAAAATAGATTATGAGCCTTGTATTACATTTTGAAGCTTTTTTACCCAATGAATACAATTTTATTGACACTTATAAAAAAAATTTCAAATTTTAAATGTCAATAAATAACTAAAAAAATTGAAAATGTTATCAAGTATAGAAAACGACAGTTTAAACATTTAGTGAAAATTTAATGTATCACCAATATCTTAAATCGATTTTCTTAAAAACCGAATTTGCGTAAAAATTCCCGTTTTTCCTTGATTTTGTTTTTGTTTTTTCCGGCGCTTTTGAAAATTACTTTAAAATTGAAGTTTTAAAATCAAAACATTATTTCGACAACTTATCGTGTACACACATACACACACAAATAATTAATGAATTAATATTAATCAAAAACACTACCATTGTAGAACCTGCGATACATTAATCGTTCCGCTCAGAATCTGAAAATTGTAACTAATGGCATTGCAGCCGATGTTAATAAGGAACAAAAAAAAACTGAGGCCGTGGATACTCAACTACTTTGATTTGGTCATTATATAGTTCACAAAATATTTATTGATAATCATCTGATATTTACTAGCTGGGTGCCATCTGGCATCTGAGACTTTAAAATTGTAAATGTCCTAACCGTCATTTTTCCTTACGTCGCTGAAAATGCGCTAGTCAGGGCCGGTTCTAGCTTTTTCAGCGCCCATTGCTAGTATTATTTCGGCGCCATTTACACTCTTTTTAAACATATAAACAGACAACCGCCTCCCTGATTTTGGCGCCCCTGTGCCGTCACACTCGTCGATCGTATCTAAAGCCGGGGCCCTGGCGCTAGTAGATTCGGCCATATATATTATGGTATACATTTAGCGAGTACCTATACGCTAAAATAAAACGGATAAGTAAATATTATACGGACGTATACCGGTATACCCCGCAAATTACAATACATGACTGATTAATGCCTTAATGGTTATCTATTTATTTATACAACAAAACTGGAAATCCCACGCTTTTATATACCAGCTTAGTTTGTACTGTCGTATTATGTAGATTGTAGTTTAAAATATGTAAGCAGTATTCACGTAGAAAATATATATGTACTTTAGCAAATAAGTTAATTATTGGCGACTGGCGTAGTCAGGCCAGCGAAGTGATATGCGCTGAAGCTACATAAAATTTTACTATTTATTAACGCCGCACGCGCAGGCACGGACAGTCACGCTGTTGTTGTGAAACTCGGCAAGGGCGTAAAGGTGCGACGCACGACGGTCGTACGCGTGTGAACAACGAATTGTCGCACAGGCTTAGTGTTTTGATTTATGGTTGATTATATACTTACAATAATGAACGTGTTTTTTTGAGAGAATTTGACTTTTTATCTTTGATAAAGAACAATTTTAGTAAGAGTAATGCTTTGTCAAGAGGGCGTCTTACACTCTTACTGACATTAAATAAGCGTACACACCTCATATAATTTGACAATTTATAATACTATATTGTTTTTAGTACCCGATGAGAGTTTTGATTTAGATTTTAGAATGTACAGGGTAAGATGGTCTCGGGTTTAAGAACATGTCAGTATACACGGGAGCAGGGTGATACAATACCGTAAATAACTAAATAAATTCAAATTATATCAAATCAAGATTAACATCATTAAATTAAGCACAAGGTATAGAAAAAATAAACTGTGAAGAATAAAAAATAAAATAGAGGTGTTTTAGTGTAYAAAAATTGTATTATAAATTATAATTATAAAATTATTATTCTTTTCTATGGGGAAAAAATAATTGTTTTGAGATCCTAACTCTATAATTCTATCATACATTATGCTATAATATGACGTGTAAGAGTTACGCGATTTATTTTTAAGATATTGTACTTAGGGTACATTTTTTTTTTAAACTAAGTCCGCGGCATCTATGGCCATTGGATTGACATTATCTATATTTATATAAACATTAATTAATACCACAACTACTATACATTATTAGTTAATTATTGTACATTATGATGCGATATATGCTATTGAAAGATACATGATAAAGATAGACAGATATTTAGATTTTACTTCGGGTACATTTATTTTTATTAAACCCTTATACATTATATATTAAGCAAGTAATACAGGCGCGGATTCAGTAGGGGTGCTGAGGGGGCTCCCCCCCCCCGTAAGCTGTGTTTTGTTTAGGAAAAATGCCCAGTAAAAAGAATCAAAACTAATTTTAACACGTTGAGTGCCGCGGTCGACGGGTAGTCGACAATTGTCAATTTGTACAGGCATCTTTATGGCAATATGGCCTTATAATTTACTCGGTTATCAGAGCAATTCTTCTGAATCAATTTATCAATTGATTACAAAGTTATATTTAACATAACTGTTTCGTGTAAGTTATTTTTGAACACATATATGYGCGCTTGCCCACATATTATATTTTATTAGATATTTTATTTTGTATGTGAAATATTTCCCCCCCCCCCCATAATCTCGGGCTGGATCCGCCCCTGAAGTAATACCTACTGCTAAATAAAAATATGTTACAGGTAGCATTTAGAATCTAATGGACTAACGTATAACACCGTATTAAAGAGCATTTTATAATTCTACGTCAAATTTAAATTATAAAAAAAACCAGAAAGCTGGAATTATGAACTAAGATAAATATATGAATATTTGTTGAAGACTGGGAATACGTTATACTATCAAATATTAGATATGTTATGGTGAATTTTACACCACTCTCAGATGTTGTTTTTAACGAGTATGAATAATGTTGTTTTTATAAATAGCTTATTTATATACCATAATTAATAGCCTGCACAATATACTGCAGTTTCATTGTCATCTCTTCAGTTATTTGTTGTCTATACTCTATATATCTAATGCAATTTTAAAAACGTAGAATATTACTTACAACGCTACTTAGATATACTATGTTAAGGTTACCTTTAATCTCGTGGTTATTGTGTGGATACTAAATTTTTACTTTATTTTAAGATAAATTCATCAAAATTACGAAAAGAAAATTAACAGAAATGATTTTGACAGATATAAAAACACTTAGTCACGAATACACTACTGAATATTGAAGAGAGCTGCAGAGACTTTATATTATTATAGACTATAGTATTATATTATTTCAGTATATAGGTACCTTTACGTTTACCTCTTTACCTATATGGTATAGGCTAGATATAACACTTGTGTTACACATGGACACAGAACACTTAAGAGGATGTCAGCACACTATTTGTTTTCTCTCTCTGGCTCACGAGCAACATGGACAAACGCATTTACGCAGAATATTTTTTTTTTATGTAATTTTAGTGTAAAATCACCCATTACAAAAAAGATAAAGAATAATATTTTTGAGGGAATAACATATCGATATTATATTTTATTGTTAGGTACTTGATTTTGTATTCTACTTTCAAAAATAAGCAAAATAATTGTTTTAAGATAATATTTAGACAAATCGATATTATTGTCCTTATTTTTTGGGTGATTTTATTTTAAGATTACTTAAAAACATAAAAAAAATAATTCTGCATAAATGCGTTTTGTATATGTCGAGTGTGGGCCATATAGAGAAAACAAATAGTGCACTGACATCCTCTTAAGTGTTATCTATAAGTATAAAGTGATTGTTGTTGTTTGTAAATAATGTCTATACAAGAATAATAATCGAAATAACTGTAATCATATGGCGTTATGACTTATGAAACAATATTTGTATCTAGGATAGGTTCTATTATCTATGGTTACGATTATGCATAAATAATACGTAAACATAATAATATGTAGATTGTTATTTGTAGATATACCGTCAAACCAGGTGACTTGAAATGATATTTTTAAATACGTTCCGTATTATTTACTTATTTATCATAATGACGCCCGCCGTCGCCCATATGAACTATGATTCTACCAAAATACAGACCAAAATGTAATTTAAAAAAAAAAAATGTTACAACACTTAAATTAAGAGTTACTGAAGTCGTAGTTTAACGAAAAAATCTAAGGTATTGTTATTTTTTATCGTGGATTCATAGACCATAATGTATCGTTATACTAAGCCTTTTGGTTAAAGGAACCAAAGAAATCATTGTCTTTTAAAGACTTCGACGTCTTCAACGATTACAAATTGCAACCGACACATATAGGTCACAATAGATATTGTCTTTAGCAAGGGTTGCCATAAAAATTGTAAAATACGAAACAAAAACGTTGTGATAAAATGAACATCGAAATTCTAATTCAAATCCAATAATAAGATTGTAAAATCTAAAAAAATGTGATATTAATCAGTAATCACATGCCACAAAGAATCGACATTAGATTATGGCTAATCTTTAATACGAGTATACGACTATAACAAGTCCGTTGAAGTACCTAGATTATACGTTATGATAGCATAATTCAAACACCCACGTTTCTGTGACTTATTCAATAATACATATTTGATGCACTTATACGACTTATCCAGGAAAAATAAAGTTATTCTTTTAATAATGTTATAATTGAAAATTTTTAAATGTTTTAATTTTTGGGTTGCACGACATATCATTGCCACCCCCCGCCAACATGTTAAAATTGTCAATACAATAAAAGTTCCCATCACACAATTTGAAATTTACTCGAAAAAAATGAAAAAAAAAAATGAAGACCTACTATTCGTTTGAAAAATCTACACTAACCTAACGCGTGATTGGACTGAGTGACAAGAAACATACGTCATCTGCTCAAACTATCTCCCTATAGACTTGGAACTGAATTTGGAGATGATGTTTTTAAATTAATATTACAAATTTCTAAATGAAATTTGCAGGGAGCTGACACGAGGATCGTAAAAAACCCGTATATTTTACGAGACAGTCGGTGGATACCAGATTGTAAATTCGTTCTGTTAAAAAATAATACCGTTGTCGTGGATCTTGTGCGACGAAACGTGATCGACGCTGGCCATGCTGGCCAATAATTCTCGCCGGTCCGACTTGTTCCTGACGAAAAACACCATCTCGACGTCACACCAGGGATGCGCACGAAAACGATTATAATGTTATAATATCGAACAGGACCGCGCCGAAACGTCGGCCGTAAAAGCTGTGAACGACACGCTGCGGTAGACGTCACTTGCAGCAGCGGCACATACGATATGATCGCCACGGTGAACGTGCACCGACTACCTTCTGGTTTCTACGTACGAACGGACTTGCGCCCGAACACGGCGGCGGCGGCGGCGGCGGCGAATAACAACCGAACCGAAAAGCGACCGTGCGCGTACCGGGGTGCGTACGTGTGCGCACCACGTAGACGTGGTCGAGCGTCGTCGCCGTCACCGGTTGCGCGTGTGCGTGCTTGTGTGGGCGAGGCGGGGAAGAAGAAACCGGTGAAAACGACCGCGGTAGACGAGCACCGCTCCCCGCCGCGCCCGACCCCGTACAGGATTTGCCCATAACATATAGATGACCGCCTCAGCCGGTTTGGCGGGATCTACGCTGCCGCCGCTGAATGCTGATCGTTCCTCGAGACTCCGACCACGACGGCGTGGCGGCGACCAGCGTTTGTCGTTGCGATGCGCACGCGGGTTTTCGTATCGCGCGCTCGCGGCCGAGAGAAAGGATCGAGGCGAGTCCGCCGTCGGCTGAATATAATATGTTATGTTTTAAATTTTTAAACAGGATTTTAACGGTTTACTAACATTTTCTTCAATGAAACTTGCAATATATTTAAGAACAATATTATTTTGATAATAATAATTCTTATTTATTACTACTATATCATACCATTTGGTTGACACCTTGCTAAATAAAGACCGAAAACAATTTATACTTCTAAAATATGAAAATCCGGCTGCATACTAGTTGCGGTCATGACGATTTTTGAGATAAACAGATATAACAGTTGCGGTCACGCCAATTTAGGTAATATCTTAATTGCGGTCATAGCTTAATTAACTCCAATTCCAGGCGAAATTTATATTATACGATTTTAAACATATTTTTCGATATAATGTACACAGCGTTTATAAATAAAATAGATTAAATTGTATACTCCGATCATAGTTT